TTTTCCACCCTTGCGAAAAATCTGTAAATGAGACAGAGGTTTTATTACCCTGTTTCCTAAATGGGGAAATTGGAGTATAAAATAATGAAACAGTTTGCCAAACATAGTAGTGAAAGTGGGATCCATGTCTCCCGCCTCTCATCCCTTGCTTCTAAATTATGCCCCTCCCCCAAGCCCAGGTATTTGTCAGTTTAGGATGTTGCAAGGGTGAGGACAAAAGGTAGAATCTACTCAGTCCCCCCTCCATCCCGGTAATATTTACCTTTTAAAATTAGAACACATTGGAGAGCCTGGGTGGCTCTGTTGGTTAAGCGTCCAACTTCAGCTCAGGTCATGATCTTGTGGCTCATGAGTTCGAGCCCCGCGTCGGGCTCGGTGCTGACAGCAGGCCTGGATCCTGCTTCGGATTCGATGTCTCCCTCTCTCTCTGCCTCACTCCCTCTCACACTCTGTGTCTGTCTCTCAAAATAAATAAACGTTAAAAAACATTTTTTTTTTTAATTGAAACACATTTGCTGCCTAAGAGTGAGTGGTGGCCGAGTCCAAGGTTGCAGCTTCCTCCTGTCTGCCCCTCTATGGAAATGACGCCCTGCTAAGAGGATTCCAGAGAACCTGCTATTTTTGTACTGGGCATCACCTCCTCTGAGGAGCGTCCCTCTCCTGTTCTACAGGAGCCTGGCGGGCTGGCATATCTGAGTTCCTGTCATCACCACCCACATTCCAGGGGAGCACGCAGGCCATCAGACTGTCTTCCCTGGGAATCTGAGTGTGGAGTGGCCCACAGGGAAGACGGACATTGGGAGCATGGCAGGCTCACAGAGAGCTAGCCCCCAAGTCCTCGGTCCTCAAGACCGTCACGGCTACACTGCCTCTGTGCTGCCTGATGTCCAGGTGTGTGTATCTCTCCCAACAGCTTCGGTTTTCTCAACTGAGGACACGTGCATGTGGCACAGGTGTCTCCCTGCAGGAGGGTGACCAGATGAGCGTCTTCCTTGCCCTGGGGGTCAGAGGTCTCGGGGGCCTGGAAGGCTGATCCCTTCTTTAAGTGAAGTTCAAGAGCGCGGTTCTGCAACCTTGGCTGGTCGCTCATCCAGAAGAATGTGTGCTCAGGAGGACAGTAAAGGTAAGGAGACACGTGAGAGCTCACTCCGGGACCACCAGCCTTGGGTGTGTAAAAGACACACAGGCCCAGGCCTAAGGACCATAACACGCTTCCACCCCTCAATATCGCCTCTTGCTTTTTCACCACTTGGCCAGCTTATGACATAACACCACCCACTGTAACAGATCAACCCCTGAATCGCAGTGTCTTCCGTCAACGTTTAATTCTCACATGAAGAGCCCAGGGGAAGAGAAGCACGATTCAAGAACACGGGGTTCCCACAGCCCATAGGACCTCGGGGCCATTCTTTCTGTCCCCAGACAGGCAGATCCTGCGAGACGACTCAACACGCCGGATCTGAAAGCGGCTAAGGCACCAGCAGGACACTTCCTCTTCATCTGTTTAACTTGAGTTCCACAAGGGCGGGAACTCTGGTTCACCGTTCTATCCATTGGCTAAACCGTACTCCATGACGACACCTATCTACAGGGGCTGGAAGCGCCTTGTAGCGGTGGCCTGGAGGTGTTAGGGGGCTTCCGTGAACATAAGTCATCTCTGCCTCGCCAGGCCTCCGCCTGGGATCTTCTTCTCCCTCCTGCGTCTTAAATGTGGGCCTGTTTCCAGCCGCTTTCTCTCTCCTCTATCTCCTTCACCTAGGACGTGAGGAGCATCTGCATGGTATGGAGACAACCCCCACATGGATCTTTTCAGGTAGACAGTTTGCAAATCTCCAACCTCTTCCAATGAACACTTCTTTCTTTCTTTGTTTCTCATCCTGCCCTGTCCACCCAGAGCTGTAGCCCTACAACGCATCCATGCACCCGGCAAATATTTCTGGAGCCCTAACTTGGCCTAGGTTCCCTTCCCTAAGGGGGAATTTTTTAAAAATTCCTGAATCTGAAGCTTGTTTTTAACATGTTATTGGGAAGTTCAGTTCAAAGGAAGCAAGAGAGGGAAAAGGGAAGTGAGGAAGAGAGAGAAGGGAAATAAATGCAAGGAGGTGACTTTCCAAATTGATAGATTTGCGGCCAGCGCAGCGGTTGCCGGGCTCCCCAGGGCACCTCCTTGAGCAAGGCCATGTGCACCGGGGACAGCTCAGAATGGTCCCATGACAAGGTGGTGGACGGCAGGTGAGTGTGAACTGTCTGCCGATTTCTTCTTTCTCCTGCTCTGTCGGTCAGAGTCTTGCCCGTGGGCGCTGAGCCCCTGCACTTCCCATGTGTGTTCCTGGCCTCTCCAGGAGGCTGCTGGGAAGCCAGAACCTCTGCGAATCCACCAGCCCCGGCGCCAGCTTCTTCTCCGCTGGTGCCCTGCTTGCAGGTGCCCGGACCCCTGGTGGTAGCGCTCTTGGATGTGAGACCAGGAAAACAGCATGAGCCTTCGCCAGGATTGCTGAAGCCCGAAGTCAGATGAGGGGCTGGGGCTGGGTGGAGTGATGGGGGTCAGGGCCAAGCACCGAGCATGTGCCAGGCACGACAGCTGTGGTCTGGGACAGAAGCATGAACATGACAGGTAGAGTTTGTAGTGAAGAGATAGTGGACACAGTGCCATGAAAAACCAGATTGAAATCTCGGTCCTGTGGGTGGTCAGGCCTGGCTCGGAGCCTCTTTTGTGCACGTCAGCACCTCTTTCCCCATCTAGGGTGAGCCCCGCCCTCAGGCCACTTCTCATATGGAACTTGACCCGCTCCTGCTCCTCCGCTTATCACAATCTGCACGTTTGTCTCTTGTGCATCCTTCAAGCTCCAGTTCAAATCCCTTCTTTTCAATCCCTCCTTTTCCTCCTCCAGATCTTCTAAATCCTCACAACCCTGTAGCTGCATTTCTCACATCGTTATTGGTACCGTCTTATTTCACTGATTACTGCAAGTGTCCACCTCGTGTCCCCCAAAGGGTGGGCCGCACTCAGATTATTGGATGAATGCGTGCAAGAGGGGAAGAAGGAAGGAAGTTCCGCGAATGCCGCGTCAGGGCCTCCCCCACGAGGGAGAGGCAGGTTGCCGTTTTCCACAAAGCATGTGTCAGAGGAAGAGAAGGGAAGTCGCTGACTCTTGACCCATTCAGACAGAGGCGATGGGGACTGAAGCCTGGGGCGGGGGGTGGGGGGGCTTTCAAAGGTGTTAAGGGTGCTTCTGCAAACATCCTTTAAAACCAGAAGTCTCAGGCCTGTGTTCAGAGGCTATAAGGACTAGGCGAGGGTAGTTCCTTTCCCTTCCCCAAGAGTGCCCACAGCACCAGACCCCTGGCTGGTGACTTCTCCCTGTTCTCTGCAAGGGGCTCAAATTAGCCTCTACAGCTTTATAGGGGTTTGTCTCCATTCATTCTCTCCCTCTCCCTCCCTCTCCCTCATTCCCTCCTTCTCTCTCTCTCTCTCTCTCTCTCACACACACACACACACACACACATTCATCTAAAACCTGGTCTCGGGGGGCCTGGGTGACTCAGCCAGTTGAGCATCCAACTCTTGATTTCAGCTCAGGTCACAATCTCATGATCTCACTGACAGCACAGAGCTTGCTTGGGATTCTCTCTCTGTCTCTCTCTCTCTCTCTCTCTCTCTCTCTCTCTCTCTGTCTCTCTCTCTCAAAATGAATAAATAAACATTAAAAAAATAAATAAAATAAAACCTGGTCTCAGAAAAGTAGAAGAATATGGGAGGGGATCCGATTCTAAGGGCGACAATTTAAAAACAAATTGGCCGTCCTAAACCAGTGGTTATCTGACGGTGGGCTGGTGCACCCTCTCCCAAGTAAGCAAAGAATAATATTCTAGGAAAACATGCCCTGGAGTTCTTCCAGCTCGGCGCGGCCTGGTCAGCGGGCGCCTCACAGACATCATCGTGCCCCGCTCCGGGCACCTGCGAATCGGAGCAGGGGAGTGAGCGTCACCTGGAGCTTTTGTTTCACTGACACCTCCTTACCGAGGTCTGTCCCTGGCACCGCGTGTGGCCGAGCGTGGGGTTCAAGGTTACTCGCTCTGCCCTTGAGGGATGTCTGGTCCCACTGACCAGACAGGCGTAGACAATAGCCATGAGACAGCACCAGAGACTCAAACATGAGGAAATGCTTGCTGACAGTGAAGGTGGTTAAGGGAGTGGACCACCAAGGGGGAAAGGCCCCTCTCAGAAGGAACATGGGGATGGAGGGCTGAATCCAGTGCATTACAAGCCTTAAGGGGAGCCCTTGGGATCTGGTAACCCATTTCATTCGGGCTCATCTGCACTCACTTTATTTCCAAAAAAGAAAAAAAAAAACCCTCACTTTATTCCCCTTTTATCTGCCAGCCATTGTTACTCGGGGCATGGTTCCAGACACCTCAAAGGGATATGAAACTCAGCCTTATGCTCACGCTGCTGAAAATCACTGTAGTCTCTTAAGAACTTCAGGCCGAGCCACACGTTTTCATCCGAGAGGACGGGGAGATGCCAGGACTTGTCTCCCATCTCACAAGACTGGGTGTGTGTGTGTGTGTGTGTGTGTGTGTGTTGGTGGCAGTGTGCTATGATGCGGTGTGTGTACAGTACTGGGGTCGGAACAAGGCATGAGGACCGTCTCCCCACCAGGCTGGTGGTGGCACCGAATCTAATGCACATGTGGGTCTAACGCCTCAACAAACAAAAGGTTCCCTTCACTGGGTGGCCTCCAGCGGCCCAGGCAGAAGTCCCGAAAACCAGCTGGAGGCTTTGCGTGGTGCCCCCAAACCTGCGTGTCGCCTTGCAGGCTGTGACCCACACACTTCCACGCCTCGAACCTTCTACTCCTCGTTCCCCTGGGGCCAGCTTCCCAGGAAACCCAATTCTCACAGAGGTGCCTAATCGAGTGAGCTCTGAAGCCAAGCTTCCCATTCCACCCCACCCCCTCCACCCACACAGCTGAGCTCACCCGGCCCAGCCTCTTTTGCAACTTTCCCAAGTCTGTGCACGAGAGGGACAGGAGGAAAACAGAAGGAAGTAGCTTGGCCTCAATAAGCTCTTCTGCTCCAGAGCCTTTTTCCTCTGAACCGGCTGAGACCTTTGCTCTAAGAGGAGACCCCCAGACTCCAAGAGAGAGAGAGAGAACGGCCCGCCTGCTCTCAGGGGAGGCCAGATGCTAAGCAGCCACAGCTGTAAGTGCCTTGAAAGTTTTTCTCAGTTCTTCGGTCTGTCCCAGCAAGCCCTAGAGGTATTTGGGTTTGGGGAGGGAGGTGGGGAATGGAGGCAGGGATGAGGCTTAGAATCTGGCAGCCGCGGGGCTTAGATCCAACCGGAACCCCTGTCCCCACCCCACTGCCCACCAGGGAAACTCCCAGGGCATGGCAGCGAGCCAGATGGAAGGGACTTCCCCGCCCAGCCCAGCCTGGCCTGGGTTGCTGGGGCCCAGGCTCCCGGCTCTGCACGGGCCAACAGTCTTAGCGGGAGGACACTGCCACTGGCTCAGCAGAGGAAGGCCAGCCAGCACCCGAGGTCGCCTTGCCACATCGACAGGGCACCTCCTTGGGTGGAACCCGTTGGCCAAAGCGTCTCATTGGGGAAGGAGAAACTCCTAGAGTAGAAAAGTGTCCTTTTGTTCTAAATCATAAGTATGTCTCCTGGCACAGCTCTGCTGTGCTAGGCAAGCCAGTCAACAGAGTTGGACAGATCTGGGTTCTAGTCTCAGCTTGCCACTAACTAGCTGTTCTTGACTCAGGAATCCACTGGACTGTGATGGCATTTTATAACCTGCAGGGTGCCCTAGAATTGCCAGGCAGCGTGCATTTATAAAAATAACTTCTCTGAGCTCGTCAGTCAATGCCCCACCACACAAGTCCCATGGAAATAGTAACTTGTCTGTACCCTCAGACCTACATAGTGCGGACTCATAGTAGGCATATAGTACCCATGCTGGATGGATGGACAGACGGATGGATACATGGATGGATAGACAGGTGGATGAATGGATAGGTGGATGGATAGCTGGGGATGAATGAATGACTGTTTATTGAAGATTCAATATTCCCAGCATGGGTCAGGCTTTACGGAGGGATAGAGAGGTGGGAGGCACTTTCTTGTCCTCTGGGCACTGAGAGTCTACTTGGGGAGACGGGACAAATATTTCCAAAGAACTTAAAGGACACGAGCGCTGAGCCTCCTGAAACCAGAGCTATGGACACACGGCCTGGAGGGGAGCAGGTCTAGACCTGCTAGGATTTAGGAGGGCAAGGCAGAGTCGTGAGCCTTCCCACAGGGCAATAAAGCTTCGTGCTCCATAGATCATTTATTTTCAAAGACAAACTTTATTCCCACGACTGTAAATCCCATTATTTTTAGGGTGGACGCATTTGTCGTTTTCCAAGACGTGGTAGCAGGGAGGAGAGGCACTGAAAGTGGGGTCGATGGGAGCAAAGCAGGGAGACTGCCTGCCTCAGGATTCTCATCTGCCCCTGCTCACTGGTCTCCCTCATCCTTCTTCCTTGTCAGCAGAAATGACACCTCGCCTTACCAGCGAGGCCGAAGATTGTACCTGGGTCCCGGTTGGGGCCAGTGGGGGAGGGAGAGAAGGGAAGTAGTATGGTGAGAGCAGACCAAGTCCAAGGGCTCGTGTAAGACTGGCCCCCAAACCCTAGGGTGGTGTGCATGTGACTGTGTGTGTGCGTGCACGCACGTGTGTGTGCCCAGGGGCATCAACCCAGGCTTTCTTGCTCCTAGGGACTGAGCTACACTGTAACTTTGGCAGGTGGGCAGGACCAGGGCTCCAGTCTTAGAAGTACTACCAGGCAACAAGGGGAGAGGAGTTAGTCACATACAGTGGGGGCCGAGTCGCCTGCAGATTCTGGTCTGGGTGGATCGGGGCTGGCTAAAAGCAGGGCCCTGCGTTCCAAGCCTGCTTGTCACTGTTATTTAACAGTAGAGGGTGGTGACTCAGCCTGACCTCTAAGAGGATGCCCTGGTTTGAAGCATCTGACGTACCTGGGTGGGCGGGAGGAGGCTTAAAAAGACAGCTATGGCCGAAGTCCGGCCAAGGGCAGGGCCCAGAGACGTGGGAAGGGACTTCAGCCACCGTCTGAAACCTACACATGCCTCCTTGGTGAGCCCAACCGGTGTCTGCCACCAAGCTGCCTGCCCTCGCCGGTGACACAGTTCTGGACACCCCCTTGTTGCTGCTAGGGGGCAAGGGACCCCTAGAGGGCCCTGGGACCCAAGGGCCAGGCTATTTTAAGTAGCAGCCTCAGCAAATCCTTCCCCTTCTGAGAGTCTGCAGTAGGGGTAGGGGGTCTGCAGCAGCAGCATGCTGGAAGGGCACATCCAGGGGAAGGGGACTAGGGTGGTAGTGGGGTAAAGGGAGCTCAGAGTCAAGGCCAAGGTGAGTCACAAGGATCCGAAGAAGAAAGAGTCAAGAAACACCAAGGAGAAGACATTAAACCTCAGAAGGGCTGGCATGTGGCAGAGGAAGATTGCATGTTCTCTGTGGCCCCAGGAGAAACCCACCCCTAGTGGACGGAAGAAGCTCTATGGTAGCAGATGCAGCGTCGTCTTTCCATGAACGAGGTCGAGATGGCTCAAGCCCCGGGTGGGGGATCGGAGAAGATGATCTTTGGGGTTCCTCCTACAGCGTGCTGGAGCAGGCTCCACACTGGTAGCTTGAAATCCGCCACGGTGGGAGTATCTACCCCACAGAAAGTGGCAGGTGCTACCAATCAGATCTCTGCCCCGCCCCCATGCAACTAGTAACCATTCATCTGGGTCTTCCCCCATTGGAGGAGCCTTTTGTGCTATCAGAAATGACACGTGCCCCCCTGCAGAACAAGCCACAGCCACAAGTGATGCCCACTTCACCCATGAGGGAGCCGACTCACCAAGGTCAAGCAACTCACCCAAGGTCACAAATGTATGGAGGTAGAATAAGAAACGCTGACTCCAAAACTCATGATCACTCCCTGGTACGAGATGACCTCCCTCTCCTGCCCCAGACACCAAAGTGATTTGTCTTGTCAGGACATCACACTCAGATGACTTGGGGTTGTCATCCACCCATGTGCTCTTTTTAAAGGAACTTTAGGGGTGCCCGGGTGGCTCAGTCGATTCAGCGTCCAACTTTGGCTCAGATCATGATCTCGTGGTTCACGAGTTCAAGCCCGGCGTCGGGCTCTGTGCTGACAGCTCAGAGCCTGGAGCCTGCTCCCCCGCTCACTCTCCGTCTCTCTCTCTCTCAAAAATAAATAAACATTAAAAAAAAAATAAAGAAATGTTAAGTTTCTTTAAGTACATTTGATACTGTTTCATTACGTAACGACTAAGCCTTGTGTGACAAATGTTAACACAAGACATATATAAAATAAAACAATAGCCCCTAGCTTCTCATCTACCTTTCCCTACCTCCTATTAATCATTTAATGTGTATCTATCCACAACTTTCTGTGTATGCAGGACAAGCACAAATAGGATATTAACTATGCAGCCACACAAGCAAGGCTGTTGTTTGCTTTTACGCAATCGAGATCGTGCTGTACAAAACGTTCAGGGATGTTCTCTTTTACTTAAATTATTATCACTTTTTTTTCTACTTCATTACTCCACTCTTTGTTTTTCTTGATCGTTTACATGTTTATTTATTTATTTTGAGAGAGAAGAAGAGCGAGTGGGGAGGGGCTGAGAGAGTGGGGGAGGGAGAAAGAACCCCCAGCAGGCTCCGTGCTGTCAGCGCAGAGCCCCGTGCAGCCTCCATCTCACAAACCGTGAGATCATGACCTGAGCTGACATCAAGAGTTGGATGCTTAACCGACTGAGCCACCCAGGCGCCCCACTTCACTCTTTTTAAAGCCAGCTGGTATCCCAGAATCCGAATGGATCATAATTTATGTAGAGAATCTCCTATTGATGGACATTCGGGTTACGACAATGTTCTCCAGCAATCGTCTTTGTACAAAGGTATGTTTGAGCATAGGTGCGTTCTGAGGGTAGATGCCTAAAATTAGACTGTGGCCCGTGCGTATCGAACTTTGCTACTGTCAACTTTCCCTCCAAAAAAGGCTGTGCTATTCATAGCCTATCAACAATACATATTAGTGCTTACCCTATACACTTGCCAACACCATCAGTCTTTTTAATTTGTGCCACTCTCTGGAGGTAAAAAAAAAATGGTATTTTTAAACTTTGTATGTCTCTAAAAATTAGTAAGGTTGAGTATCTTTTCGAAGCTGATGGCTTTTCATTCATAAGACTTCTGGGTTGCTTATTCATATTCCTTGCCCACTGTTATGTTGTATATTATCTTTGATTATCTGCAGAGAGCTTCCCAGGTAGTGGATATTGATCCTCTGTTATATGCACACTCTCTACCCGCCCCGCCCTCACCCCACTTCCCCTTCATAAGCACGTTGGCCGCGCTGTCCCACGTCAAGCCCACGCCACCCAGCCCCGGAGCCTCTCTGACAGGGGCACCTGGTGGCAGGTGTGTGATCTTCATCCTAGTTTTACGGAAGAGACAGTAGAATGAGCAGGTGAGGGTGTGGTCTGCGGAATTAGGCCTGGATTCCAAACCTAGCTCCTAATCCGGGTCCTACAACTTCTAGGCTGTGTTTTTAGAGAGAAACAATTAAACTCCCCTAGATACCTGGTTCTTGAGTGGTAAAATAGAGACCTATGGTGTCAGTCGGGCAAGCTTGTTTTGTGTGCTAACAATCGTCATAAAACAGCTAACATTTCTTTCTTTTTTTTTTAAATTTTTATTCATTTTTGAGAGAGAGCAAGTGGGGGAGAGGCAGAGAGAGGGAGACAGAGAATTTGAAGCCGGCTCTGTGCTGACAGCAGCGAGCTCGAGGTGGGACTGGAACTCACGAACTACAAGACCATGATCTGAGCCGAAGTCGGACACCCAACCGACTGAGCCACGCAAGTGCCCCTGAAAGAGCTAACATCTCTTGAACCTTTAATTGCGGCCGGTAAATATATTATAATAATGTATTCATTCATTTAACCTCACAATGATATGCATATTTTTGTTTGCACATTCACAAAGTCCTCTATGCAATGCTGGGTGGAAAACATGTTAGAGGATAGCGTGAGCATAGATATGACTCCAGCATGGCAGCTTGTGTGTGAACACATTCCCCTCCAACTAAGCTGGCCAAATCTTGACCTTGGTGGTCAATCCTCGCACAACAGCTCTTGTTCCACAGACCCGTTCCCTCGGCTCCCGTTCGTACCTCTTGTCACTTTGGCCACCTTTCTCTCCATCTCCTCCAACTCTGCTAGGGTTTTGTCGGGGCTCACCAAACAGGAGCCCAGCACCCCAGATCCTATGCACACAGATTCCATGGGCTCAAACTCAAGAGGTCAGGAGGCAACGTGGCACAGAGGAGCCTCCTCTGGCCTTCCATGCAAACGCTGGCTCATCCCTGTACTACCTGTATGGCCTTGGATGAGATATGAATGACTTGGCTTCTCTGAGTCTCAAGACTCATCTCGTAAGGCTACTGGGAGGGTTCTCGAAGCAATCAGAGGATGCAGAGCAGCCCCTGCAGTGGGGCTGTCAGTGCTGATTCCTTCCCCACTAGTCCCTGCCTCCCTTTGGTCCTGACTCCCTTTCTAAGGGCACTGCATTGGCTTTTAAAACTAGGTTGGAATCTTGTACCAAAGCCATTAGGAAAGAGCTCACCATGGCTCCCACTCCCATTCTGAGCAGTAACTGATGCTCGAAGACATGTACCTTTCACAAGCTTCTGAGCCACTTCTCCCTTGGCTGGTTTCCCTGTGAGCGGTGACACCCAAGACAAAATGCCAGCCCTGGATAATACCTTGAATTATCTTCCTCTGCCTGTCTGGAGCAAAGAGAATGGTTGCTGAATGAATGAGAGGACCGAGTCCTTGGTTGGACCTCCAAGACCCACCTTAAATCTTACCTCTTCTCCCTGCTTTCCTATCTCCATACCCTTCGCTTCACCCTTCCAAACCATCCACCCTCTCCATTCACCTGTTCTCAGGGTTTTGATTACTTCATCCCCTCCCTCTGAAATATCACCCCCCGCACAACCACATGTCTCCTTCTTTCAAGGCTTCTCTCCCACCCCTGAATTCCCCCAGCACTTTCTCTGTGCCTCTGTTGGGACGCTTTATGCTTTGTCTTTGGTGTAATCACTCAGCCTGTGCCTTCTCCCATGATGACTCCTTAGGGTGGTTTCCTATTTGGTCCATTTTTGTGCTCATGCTTGTGTCTAGTGCAGGGCTTTGGAATGCAGTAACCGTGTCGGGATTTTTTGAAGGACTGTCGCAGATTACCACGAAGAGGTCTTGCCCATCATGCCAAGCCAGCCCTCCTGGGTTACCGCAGAAGGCCCAGTGACACCAGCTCTGGCTCTTCGGACAAACAGCTCTGAGCCGAGCCTCAAATCACCCTGGGGCCACGACATGGCTCGTGGAGGGGCACTAACAGCCCTACGTCCCTGGGGCCTAGGCACCCCCGGGCAAGGCCCTTGTGGCCAGTGAGTTAGAGCTCCAGTTGATAAAGCATTTTTCAACCAGAAGGGACCTTGAGTCTTTGGTGCCCAACTTGCTCATTCTCTAGTTGGAAAGCCAAGACTCAGAGAGGGGAAGTAAATGATCCAACGTCACACGGTGGCAACGTGAGAGAATTAGAACCAAGGCCTCAGAACGTCCGTTTTTTAGCTTTTTCCAGGACCCCAAGGAAACTCAAACTGGCCTTTTTGACACCTCAGCCAGGCTGAGTCAGATCAAGGTTTGCTCAGCATGCCTACCTGCTCCAAGTCTGGAGCACTCAGGAGTTGGGAACTGTATACACATACATACGCGTGTAAGGGTAGAGCCAAAGAGCCAGTTAAGCACAATCCCCTGCAACAGTTTCGCCTTCGCTTGTTGAAAAATAGTAATAATATGGGGCGCTCAGTTGGTTGAGCGTCTGACTTCGGCTCAGGTCATGATCTCACAGTTCGTGGGTTTGAGCCCCGCATCAGGCTCTATGCTGACAGCTCAGGGCCTGGAGCCTGCTTCGGATTCTGTGTCTCCCTCTTTCTCTACCCCTCCCACACTCATTCTCTCTCTCTCTCTCTCTCTCTCAAAAGTGAATAAACATCAAAAAAACCTTTTTAAATAATCAATATGTACATGTATATGTAAAATCCATACATGCATATATACATGTTTCTTTCTTATAGGAAAGAAACATATTATTTCTTACAGGAACAATACTTGTTTGACATGTGTGTTATTTAAAAATGGAACATACTGGGGCGCCTGGGTGGCGCAGTCAGTTAAGCGTCCGACTGCAGCCAGGTCACGATCTCACGGTCCGTGAGTTCGAGCCCCGCGTCAGGCTCTGGGCTGATGGCTCGGAGCCTGGAGCCTGTTTCCGATTCTGTGTCTCCCTCTCTCTCTGCCCCTCCCCCGTTCATGCTCTGTCTCTCTCTGTCCCAAAAATAAATAAACGTTGAAAAAAAAAATTTAAAAATGGAACATACTAAAAAGCACAGAGAACAAATGTTAAATTGTATAATTTCCCTACCACGCAGAATCAACCACTTAAGTTTGTTGTATATTTATTCCTAGGCTTTTTCCTATGCAAGCAGGAACGCATTTTCATATTTGTGATGGTATCGTATATACAGTGCAGTGTCTTGTCTTCTTTTAGACCCTATGGAATAAGCATTTTCCCACATTAGTATGATAGTCTCCAAAAGTCCATGTTAATAGTCTATTGTGTGCCATGATTTATTTAACCACTTCTTTGTTGTTGGATGTTTATAAATAATACTGTGAAGAACATTCTTGAACCTGAATCTTTGCCTGCATCTCAGATTATTTCCCCAGGACAAATTCCTAGAAGTGGATGGCAGGAACATTTTTAAGGCTCTCAATACTTGCTGCCAAGTAGCTTTCCAGAAACATGTACCAATTATACCCCCACCAGCTGCATTAAAGAAGAGCCTTTTGATTCTGTGATTGCAGCAACACCTCGGGCTGGGGGAGGGGCGCTCTCCCATCCAGAGCCTCTCGGGCAGTCCTGACAATGGACCCCTTGTCCTGCCCCCATCTCCTCTTCCCGCACTGCCCTCCACCCCTGGCTGCTGGTTTGACTGTCCTCGAGGCCTCTGTTCAACCCCGTGCGGTCTTCTTGGCGCTCCAGGCTGCCTCCAAAAACAGGGTTGGTGATGCTGAAGAGTGAGAGATGTGCCTGTCCTGTGGGGCCACCACACTTCCAGACTTGGGGAGGCCCCGAGGGGAAGCTGAGGGAGGGCGGCAGCATTGCTGGTCCCCTATCTCCTTTGGAGAACGGCCCCACCTGAGTCCCGGGCCCAGAGCAGTGATCTGCACATCAAGGAAGGGAAAGTAGAGGCCAGCCTCAGTGACAATGGCCACATGGGACTCTGGCCAGCATGCAGACGACTTCTGTTTCCCTACAGGCTCCGAAGCCCCTCCATGAATCCCCGGAAGAAGGTGGACCTGAAACTCATCATCATCGGAGCCCTGGGGTGAGTAAGCCAAGATCAGCTCAGGGTGTGGGGATTGGGAAGCAGCCCCCTACCCAAGGGCAGTGAGGCCTCCTGCACATTTCCCACCGGCCATGGGTCTCTCTCTGATTCAGAATGGCACCAGGGAGGAGAGATGGGCAAAAGAGGCTGGGAGTCGGGCTGTCTGGTTACTGGTCCCAGGTCTGCCCTAACTCTGCAGTGACTAGCTATGTGGATTAGACAAGCCACTTGGCATCCGTCTGTCCTCCCACCTCTGTCAAATATAGGAAAGACCTGACCTGTGGGACGCTCCACTCTCCGCAAACTTCTCTCCTCATTCGAACTGGTCCCTACTTCTAATGTTTATTCATTTTTGAGAGAGACAGAGACAGAGCACGAGCGGGGGAAGGGAAGAGAGGGAGACACAGAATCGGAAGCAGGCTCCAGGCTCCTAGCTGTCAGCACAGAGCCCAACATGGGGCTCGAACCCACGAACCATGAGATCATGACCTGAGCCGAAGTCCAACACTTAACCAACTGAGCCTCCCAGGCGTCCCGGACTGGTCCTTACTTCTAGAGTCCATTCCCTGATCCCTTACTGCTCACTGTGGTCCTTGGACTGCAAATGTTAGAAATTCAGAATCACAGAGAGGTGGCAGCGAGAGGCGCACGGCAAGATTCTGAGAACAGTCCGGGTGTGTGTGTGTGTGTGTGTGTGTGTGTGTGTGTGTTGTTCACAAGTGTTTGGGTTTTTTTCTTCAGTGTGGGAAAGACCTCCCTCCTCCACCAGTATGTGCACAAGACGTTTTACGAGGACTACCAGACCACACTGGGGGCCAGCATCCTCTCCAAGATTATCATACTGGATGACACAACTTTGAAGCTACAGGTAAGCTGCTCTGCCTCTCCCTCTTCAGCCTGCATACCTGAAATCATCCCACATTCCCTAGATGGCCACTCGCACAGCCGTGTGCACCAAGAACTACAATGGTCTAGAGCAGAGATAAGCAAACTTCAATTCATGGGCCAGATGTGCTCCACCACCTGTTTTTACAAATAAAGTTTTATTAGAACACAGCCATGCCCATTTGTTTACTTATGGTCTATGACTGTTTTTGCACTACAAAGGCAGAGCTGAGTAGTTGCAACAGACAGTTGGGTCTACAAAGCCTAAAATGTTTACTACGTGACCCTTCAAGGAAAAAGAAATGCTGATCCCTGATCTGGGGCGGGGGGCAGGGGTGGGGAGGAAGGGCTAACCCAGATGTTGGGAGGCCTTATTCCTAGTCGCAGGTTCACTGGAAAAGTTGGTAAGTGACCTTGGGCAAGTCATTCCCAGGGTCCAAATCTATCAGGTGAGAATAACAGTGAGAATAACTGTGCCTGTCTTGATGGCCCAGGGGGAACGTGAGAGCTCAGATGTTAAGTGCTCTTGGGTTGCTAAATGACAGTGCGAAGATACTGTCACGAACACGGGCAACAGGGTTGAGTTGCCCGTGCTTGAAAGGACCACAAGCACCTGTGCCAGGGCTGTCTGCTTCCTGCCCACAAAAGGACACTTTGACATCATGGCACCCAGCTGGGCCTACCTCCAGGCACTCATCGCAGCCCAATGGGGCGGCTGCTCTTCCCCTCCAGATCTGGGACACGGGTGGACAGGAGCGGTTTCGCTCCATGGTGTCTACATTCTACAAAGGCTCCGATGGCTGCATCCTGGCTTTCGATGTCACCGACCTGGAGTCTTTTGAAGCATTGGATACCTGGCGGGGTGACGTCCTGGCCAAAACGATTCCGATGGAACCGTCCTACCCCATGGTGGTGCTGGGAAACAAGATTGATCTCGCAGACCGGCAGGTACCAGTCATGCTTTCGTTCATCCACCAAACATTACGTGAGCACCTACTCTGTGCCAGGCACTGTGGTCGTTCCCACACATAGGGAGCTGAATCAGGCACAGTCCTTACTTTAAGAATGTTGCAGCCTAGTAGTGCATACAGACACTTTAAAAACGCTTATGATACATTACGGTAAATAAAATGACGGAGATATACCTTGGATATTTGGCAACCACAGGGAAAGGGCATTTACTCAAACCCAGAATATAAGAAGGGCTTCCTAGGGGAGGTGGGTTCCAGGCTGAAGAAACAGCATGAGCAAAGGCAAGAAATAGCATGCTGTGACTTGAGAAGTGAAAGCAATTTTGTCTAGAGACAGGGAGTGGAGGAATTAAGGCATCAGCGGTAGGCAGGTGGAATTTGAATTTACCTGTAAAACAGTATTTCTACCCAGGGTCAGGTAGGGGATCACAGTTATCAATTCTTGAATCTGTAAGTTTTCTGGGAAAGTAGTAATATATCTTTTTATTACCATGGGCATATATTGGATTATCTGGCTATGCAATGGCAAGCGGTCTGCTCCATGGCTGCAGGGACCCTACTCGTGTAGGTATTTACCACTGCAGTAGCATTGATTAGAGCTCTTTCCTTATTGCCTACCAATGAGAAAACAATAGAGGCAGACTTAATTTGTAAAAGATGCTCTTGTGCCAAACAAAGCTAAAATGACACCAAAAAGAACCATTTGAACAAGATTGTCTTAGTGTTTCGTGTAGAGAAAAGGAATGAGGAACCGAGCCATCATATTTGAACTATGTTTTCACAATGGTTCAAATAGAGAAAAGTAATAGAACTGAGGCATCATTTGGAATGATGGATGGATGGATGGGTGGATGGATGGATGGATGGATGGATGGACGGATGGACGGATGCATGCATGAGGTTCTGACTTTTTCTCAGTGAAATCAGAGGCACCATCTTCTGTTGAGCAGGAAGCGGAAGAGGACCAAGTAGAAGTCTCAAGACTCATAGTGAAGCTCTGCCATTTACTCTGGAGAGCAATCAAGGACAAAGACAAGAACAGATGGGTGACCCTAGGGGCTCAGCTGAAGGAGGAGACCAGGAGTTGGAGCTGGTGTCTGGATTGTTTTTCCCCAGCAGCCATGTATGGGGTGAGAGCCAGGAACAAGGGACCTGGGACTAAGGTTCTTCCAGACGAGAGTAGCTGAAGAGTAGAGGTGTGGGGGGCACTGACAAGCCACCCAGGAAAGAAGAGAGCCAGGGGAAGGTTTGGAGGAACAGCAGCTAGCTGCAGTGTCCAAGGCAGAAGGGCAGGACAGAAGGAGTGAGGACAGGAGGAGGTGGAAGGGAAGGAGACTGTGTCACAGAATGGGAGACCAGATTCGATATTTGACAGAGGTCCTGGGTCAGGCCCTGGGAAGAAGAAGCTGAAGTGGAGAAAAGATGCATTCTGTTGGAGGGGCAGGGGAGGCTACCTTGAGACGTGGAGACAACAGGATGAGCACGGAAACGAGCAGGATGGAAAGAGCCAGTGATAACTCGAGGGGTGGAGGGGACCATCCACGCCTCAGGGGAGGAGCTTTGCTCTGCAGAAAGAGAAGAAGAATAGAGATTTGAAGGCAGCAGTGAGGCCCCAGCCAAGCTCATCACCATCTCTGGGGTCTGCGGTGAGCAGGGTGTAGACACAGCCCCCACCGGAGAGGGCGACAGGGGAACAGAGACTCCAGGAAAAGCCAGGGCTCAGCCAAGACAGGGAGGTGACAGAGGACCCTGGAGGAGGGAAGCAAGGGGAGTTCGTCCTTCCACAGGGCAGCCCCGGGACGGGCGCTGGTAGAGTAGGCATCAGCAGAGGTGGGGAAAACGCTAAGCAATAATGAAATGAGGGCAGGGAAGTAGACAGGAGGAACCGTGAGTGAGAGAGGTGACGCCGGGACACCACTGCCCTCCAATGTCCTTGTTTTGCCCCAGCTTAGCAGAGGGCTTGGCGAACAGAGAAGGCCAGCCAGGAGGCATGCTCTGGGCTCACTTGAACAGAGGTGAGCACATACGAGCCTAGCTGAGAGCTACCTGAAGGAGCGCCTTCTCTGGGCTCCAGTCCGTGCTTGCCCTGGGCCAGCTCCAGGGTCCTCGTCTGTGAGGTGCAGACCAGACACAGATTCCATGAAGTGGCTGGGGACTTGAAGGAAATGATGGCTAGGAAGCATTTGGCAAACTTAGCCCACAGAAACCATCGTTACCTTCCCTCTTACGTTCTCCAAGGGATGAGCTGGGAAAGCACAGGAGTTTTTCTCACTTAATAAAAAGGAGATAAATGTTTAAAAGTCTACTGCTAGATTTAGGATGAGTAAAAAGTTCTGGAGTTGGATGGGGATGACGGCGACACAACAACGGGAATGTGCTTTAATGCCACCAAACTGTGCACTTAAACATAGTTAAAATGGCAAATCCTGTGTTTATGTAGGTTTTAGAACAATAATATATATGTATATATCTCACCAGAATGATTTTAAAGAAATTGCTGACTTTGATTTTTTAAAATCCCTATTCCTTCTACAGAAGGCAATAGTGAAAAAATACTAGTTTGCTAGAAAGAACAGTTCTGCAAATACCTATGCCATGAGGGATTTATTCACTAGGATGTGAATCCTTTGCTCTATGTTCAGGAAGGCAGTTTCTGACTGATCACTGATTCATAACATGGGGATTACATTTTCTGAAATAAGTCTCAGTTATTTTTGGTAGTGGTTTCAGATGTATTTGACACACTAATGTTAACATTCATACAATTGGTCGCTTAAAATGCATATGAGATGCAAAGACATCATAAATAAAATTATGCGAATTGAGCTAGTTTTGTCAAACATTTGGCCTCTGATGAACAAGCAGATAACAGGAGGAGCAAAATGTTAATAGTATATATCGTCAGCCCAAAGCAAAATTAACAGAAGGAAAGCTTTCAAAAATTTCCTATTTCCCAAGTCCCCAAGTACCGCACCCTGAGTTTATTTCCACAGTCAGAGCCTAAATTATAAAGAGCTATTATTTTATAAATAAAGAAAGAACAAGATGACTGAGACAATGACGAAACTGTAACAAGAATTGGAAGCAAATAGTGAAAAGCGCTGTCTGGGTGGCTTTCTTCCCAGGCCCGCTTGCTGGGGTTCAGTTTGGGAGAGGAGAAGGGGGCATACAAAAAGAATGTTAATTTGCAACATAATCTCAACTGACATTTTGGAGCGCGACTTAATCATTCCATATAAACCCAACAGAGAAAGATCGGGGACAAATGAGATAAAACATCTGTCATAACCAGGCACCAGACAGGCCCAGTCACTGTCCAGTGGGAGAGAAGGGAGCCGAGATCAGCGGGTTGCAGGTGCAGCCTTGTCCCCCCAGCTCGGTTGCCGGGTGACCTTGGGCACTAATCCGGGCATCTGCTTCTCATGCCATGAAGTATAAAAGATCTCCCTACATCCTGGAGAAGCAGAGTCCTTTGGCTTCTTTTCACTTGACTATGGTTTTTACTGCAACCCCAGAACATCAGTGGTGTGCTCAGCAAAATGCTCATCACCTGGTGGGGGTGGAGGGTGGGCAGGGGGAAGGCACAGCGAAAAGCCTGAGTCCAGTCCTCACACTTAAGGACTTTAAAAGATAGGAAGCCCTTTGCATTTCTAAGGCCCCGTCAAGGTACAGCGTGTTAATTTCTAATACTTATTTATTTGTGGGTTACCCTTGGCGCTTCCTCCAAGGAGTTCAGAATGTTCCTGAGCTGTGAACCTTCTTGCCTGCTCACCAGGCCTTGGGCATCAGTGCTCCATGGAAGGGAGCAGTCCTGGCCAATTCTGGACCCCTCCCCGTAAAGGCAGGAAGGTCTTGGAGATCAGAGGCCGAGACTAAAAGGCCTGGGGTTTCCCCCCAGAACCCAGGCACGGGGTATGGAGGTGTCAGCTAGTTCCCCAAAGGGCAGGCTGCTTAGTCGACCTAAGGGGCTGCACCCTCCAGTCTCCCAAGGCGAGCCTCCCAGTGCCAGGCAATACTGGTGTCAACAGAGGCTCTGTGGGAGGCCACCATGAGCCTCCGGTGCTGCCGCCACTCCTGAGACCAGGGAGCCGAGACAGTCACGCGTCCTTTAATCGCAATGAGATAGTCATCCTTAAGACCTGCAGGAGGGAGGCATTCTCTGATTGCCCCCCTGGCTGTGCTGTCTTCTGGGAGAGGGGCAGAATGTCCTTTCTTCATGATAAAAAAAACCCTGGCTCCCTTAAGCACAATGAAATCATGACTACAAAGTACCAAACACAGCCAGTGTTCCATATATGGCCATTTCCTCCTCCCTGAAATAATTCATTAGGGATTAAAGTCAATGGTTCCAATTGCCTTTGGAAATAACTCCCAGGGCTCTCAGGAGTTTTCCAAACCAGCGCTATCAAACTCTGATCAGCCATTTGCATTCGGGTAGAGATGTACTCATTCTGCCTGTACTGAGTGGCCCACACTGCCAGGCCAAGAGCTGAGGAGACCGTGAGCCTGAGCTCAAGGAATCAATGGTCCAGTGGGAGAGGGAGAAAGGGTACCGTTCTCCTGCAGTGCCCTGCAGAGGGCAGTGCCCATGCCACAGGAGCTCTGAGCTGGACTGCATTGCAGCTCTGCCTTTCTCAGCTGTGTGATCTGAGGCAAATCGCTGAACCTCTCTGAGCCTCAGTGTTCCGATCTCTAAATTGAGCCGATAAGACCCATCTCACAGGGTCATTGGGAGGATTGAATGAGTGAAGATGACAAGATATCTAACACAGTATCTGGTTTATCAACTGTTCCTCGGACTCTACCCTGGGGAAGGAGGGTTAGCAAGGACCTGAGTCTCTGCTCAGCAACAGACCTCCTGGGCATGGGCCCTGGTGAGCCAGCCCAGGGGAAGGAAGCCCTCCACCCCGGCTAGTGCCTATCATGTTTATCTTACAAAGAGACTGAAGAAGGAGCCTTAGGAAAGCAGCATATAGTACATTGGGCTCTCGTTCTGCCGAGCCTGTGTTCAAATCCTGCTCAACCCCACACACTCTGAGCACGTTTATATTCTCCAGTCCTCAGTTTCCTCATCTGGAAAACAGAGCTCACAAAAGCCCACCTCATAGATTTACGTTAAGAAATACGCATGTGAGGGGCTCCCGGGTCGGTTAAGCGTCCGACTTCAGCTCAGGTCATGATCTCGCGGTTCATGGGTTCGAGCCCCGCATCGGGCTCTATGCCGACAGCTCGGAGCCCGGAACCTGCTTCGGATTCTATGTCCCATTCTCTCTCTGCCCCTCCCCAACTTGTGCTCTGTTTCTCTCTGTCTCTCAAAAATAAATAAAGGTAAAAAAATAAAAATTAAAAAAAAAAGAAATAACACATGTGGAATTTCAGACACATGGAAGTTTCTCAATAAATGGGAGTAGTAGTGGGGATGGCGAGACACGAGGGTGGTAATGAGAGAGGGCGATACGATGACGGTGGCCATGGCGATACATACAGCGATCATTTCTTCCCCTCACTCAGGTGCCCCAGGAGGTAGCCCAGGGCTGGTGTAAAGAGAAAGACATCCCCTACTTTGAAGTCAGTGCCAAGAATGACATCAACGTGGTACAAGCCTTCGAGATGCTGGCCAGCCGGGCTCTGTCCAGGGTAAGTGGCTATGGTGGTATCATCTTCCAGGGCTGCCCCGAGGATGGGAAACTGGGGAGCTTCAGAGAACAACACACTGGACTCAGGTAGGGATGCGGGTAGGACTGGACGGCTCATCGTCTCGATTAGTTGCTGAATGGGCTCGGCAGTGCTCTGGTTCTGGAACCCCAGAGCGCCAGAAGTCTAAACCTACCTTGGGTTATATAGTTAGTGGTCCCTCGGTCCGGCTGATGATCCCTTGTGGAGTTTCTAAAATACACGCTTCTGTGCCTCCCCCGGAGACATTCCAATGTAGGGAGGGTTTGGGAGCTGATGGTCTAGTTCAGTCCTGACTGGCGAGAGAGGCCCCACAGCGCCGAGCGTTTGTCCAGATGGACGATCAGGTCTGCAGGAGTGGCTGACATCCTCCAGGCAAGCAGATGGACAGCTGTGGGCCCCCCGTGTGGAGTGTGTCCTCTGTGGCCGGCAGCGTGTAGGGCTCGGGGACCCTGGCTCTCTGGAGGGGAGCCCGATAGGCCCATGTGTGGTTACCGTACAGGTGCATGGCATGAAAGGATTTGGTGAGGTGGCCCCAGCGGCAGGGGGAGGGGAGGCACGCAGCCCAGCTGTGAGGGATGGGAAGGGGGACAAGGGGAAGATCAGGGAAGGCTGCCTGGAAGCAGTAACAGGGTTTTCTTCCCCTTCCAGTATGGAGTCTGGAAACTCAGAGAAGGGTTCGAGTCATTGGCACAGGGAGGGGCTCAGCTTGTCTCATTCTTCTGCCACATTTAATCACGGTGGGCTTCTCAAGAGAGGGGGAAAGCTCATCACAGCAATGATTTTGAATTGAAGAAAGGAGGATGGGAGATGGGGCGTGTCCCCGACATGGAAGTGCCTGCCGTCATTGAGGTCGACCGGCGGCCTGGCCCCGTGCTGCCAGCTGCCCCGGACGGAAGTGCCCCGTGGCCCCGTCTGCGGTCGTCCACCAAGGAGAGAGGCAGCACCCACCCCCAAGAGGCTGCCCAGGGAGAAGCCTTAATCGCAGGGTTTGGCCGGACACAGGCTATATTTGTATGCTTCCCCTCCCGGCCCCCAGCCCTCACTGTCTCATGTTGAAAGGAAGCAGGGGATGTCCGTCTCGAGCACATGACCGAGGGCTGTGGCTTTTATGATACAGCCTGTAATGCTGGCTCTCAAGCCACAGATGTGCCTGCTCATGCCACTCCCCTGGAAACTGAAGAAGGTTGTTTGACCTTGTATGGTGAGAGGTGATAAATGATCCTGCACCAACACAGAACAGTGATTGCCAAATGCTGAGTCACGGAGAAGTTCCATCGGCCCACAGCCAGTGTCTGTGTGTGGTCAGCATCTGTCCTTTCTGAAGAAGGAGTGTCCTTTGTTCTCTTCTTTTTACTATTTTTTAAATTTACATTCAAGTTAGTTAGCATAGAGTGCAATAATGATTTCAGTAGAATCCACTGATTCATCCCCTACGTATAACACCCAGTGCTCATCCCAACAAGTGTCCTCCTTAATGCCCATCACCCGTTTAGCCCATCCCTCCACTCACAAGCCCTCCAGCAACACTCAGTTCTCCGTATTTAAGAGTCTCTTGTGTTTTGTCTCCCTCTCTGTTTTCATCTTATGTTTGCTTCCCTTCCCTTATGTTCATCTGTTTTGTCTCTTAAATTCCACATATGAGTGAAATCATATGATATTTGTCTTTCTCTAATTTTGCTTAGCATAATACCCTCTAGTTCCATCCATGTTGTTGCAAATGGCAAGATTTCCTTCTATTTGATTGCCGAGTAATACTCCATTGTGTGTATGTGTGTGTGTGTGTATATATATATATATATATCACGTCTTTATCCAGTCAGCTGTCGATTGGAGTGTCCTTTATTCTTAAAGTTACATCTTTCTTGCTGTGTCCACTTTATGAAGCTTGTCTGCTTGGTTGTTGTTTTATTTTTTGTAATGTTTGTTCATTTATTTTGAGAGAGAGATTGAGAGCACAGGGAAAGGGCAGAGAGAGGGAGAGAGAGCAGGCACTGTGCTGGCCACCAGCCCAGAGCCCGACGCGGGGCTTAAACTCATGAACCACGAGATCATGACCTGAGCGGAAACCAAGAGTCAGACGCTCAACAGACTGAGCCACTCAGGCACCCCTGTTGTTGTTGTTGTTGTTAATATCCATCCTACTTGGCAAAAGAGTGGCTGAGCAACCCTAGGTCAGTCCCTCACGTTGATGGGGGAAACTTACTGATGAGAAGTCTAGAAGTCACAAGTATGGTATCCACAGTGAAACTGACCTACATTTGAATCCTGCCCTGGTGTTTTTGAGTGGACCCCTGGGCATATGACTCCTCTGAGCCTCAGTTTCCTCATCTATAAGATGGAAATAATGCAATCCTATAAACATTTCTTGAGTTATCAGGCTAGGGCTGGAGATACGGACCTCAGGGGCTCTAAGGTCAGGTAGAGGAGTAAGATATTCACAAACAGGTTGTCACAGAGGTAAGTGCCACAGAGGGGGCAAAGTCAAGGCATGGAGATGACTCAGTGGTGGCTGGTGGCGAGGGTGGGCAAGGATGGTCCCCAGAGAAGTGGCTTGTGACTTGGGTGTTGAAAGACAAAGCACAGTTTGCCGGTGGCCACGGGAAGGTGGGGGAGGGGCAGGCACAGGAGAAGGAGAGAGAGAAGGGCATGGCCAGAGGCCCAGGCACCAATCCACAGGGCTCACGTGAGGAAGCAACTGTGGGTCCATTTGTAAGAGGAGGAAATGTGGCATGCAGGAAAGTGGGGGTGTGGGGCGAGCGATGAGGCCCACAAGGTCAACAGCACGGATCACGAAGGCTCAGAGAGCCCCCACCAAGCGCCTGGACTTCACGCAGCGGGCGCATGGCGTCCAGACCGCACTGCTGGACCCGAGGCACACAGGGGCTCACCTGGCACCTTGAAGCCCCGCAGGGTGTGCCTTTTCCTTAGAAACGTGGAGGAGAAATATTTTCCCATTAAAACAGAACAACCGTTATTACTAGAGCATAGACTGTAAAACGCACGTGCAATTTTATTTTTTTTTTCAACGTTTTATTTATTTTTGGGACAGAGAGAAACAGAGCATGAACGGGGGAGGGGCAGAGAGAGAGGGAGACACAGAATCGGAAACAGGCTCCAGGCTCTGAGCCATCAGCCCAGAGCCCGACGCGGGGCTCGAACTCACGGACCGCGAGATCGTGACCTGGCTGAAGTGGGACGCTTAACCGACTGCGCCACCCAGGCGCCCCAGCACGTGCACTTTTAAAGGGAAACTGGAGTTTGCACACCTGTGTCGTGAGGTCAGATGAGTTCTCAAAGACATTTCCGGCAAGGGCCTCTCCCCTCCTCCCCAGGGAGGTGTCGTGCTCACGGTGCTGGAGGGTTTGAGGGGAGATGTGAGAGGCGGCAAGGGGAGGAAGCCCCAGGCTGGGGTGGGAGGACCTGGGGCTCTGAAGCCGGGGAGATCTGACTGCAAATCCTGACTCCCCCTCTGACTCACAAGTCACACGGCCTCCCTAAGCCACCACTTCCCTCTCTTTAAAGTACAAATAATATCTTCCTAATGGAGTTGTTGCGAGAACCAAGTCAAACAATTCCTAGTACAGAGAAAGCACTAAGTAAAAAGTTGCTGGGGGTGCCTCAGTGGCTCAGTCGGTTAAGCATAGGACTCTTGGTTTCGGCTCAGGTCGTGGTCTCAGGGTTCCTGGGTTAGAGCCCCACTCTGGGCTCCATGCTGACAGCCCGGAGCCTGCTTCCAGTGTTTTCTCTCCCGTTCTCTCTGCCCCTCCCCCACTCACACCCTCTCTCAGATAGATAGATAGATAGATAGACCGAAGGTAGCTGTTTTAAAATGGAAGCTGTGTATAAGGGTTTTCAGCAAGGGAGTTTTCTGCTTCATGGAAGATGGGCTCAGTGGGTGGTTGGGAAGGTACTGCAATAACCCAAGCCCGAGAGAATGGAGATGGCAGGACAAGGTGGACTGAACAGACGTTGGAGGTAGAGCCTCAGGGGCTCATGATGGTTGAATGTAGGAGAGAAGGAATCGGGAGCTATTCAGCTTGGCAGTCAGATGCACGATCGCTCGGATGGAATGCTCAGGACCAAGCGAGAGAAGAGAGGGAAAAGCAGGAGCATCACGGGAGGAAGGGGGTGATGCACTCAGTCCACGGGCCACATGACATCCACACTTCCTTGAAATGCCTGAGCTCTGCAGTGAATTCTGGTTGGAGTGATTTGTGAACATGGCACCAGAATAGGTACTCGGGGAACATTTTGAAAGGAAAGATGGTAGGTGGTTACTTTACGGTCCCAATCTAGCCACTTTCTTTTTCTTTTTTTTAACGTGTATTTATTTTTGAAAGAGAGAGAGAGAGAGAGAGATGTGAGCAGGGGAGGGGCACAGAGAGAGGGAGACACAGAATCCGAAGCAGGCTCCAGGCTCCGAGCTGTCAGCACAGAGCCCGATGGCGGGGCTCGAACCCACGAACCGTGAGATCGTGACCTGAGCCCAAGTCGGACGCTCAACCGACCGAGCCCCCCATACGCCCCCCAGTCTGGCCGCTTTCAAGGACTAGGATACTTAGTTATTCCAAAATATGATACGAAGGGACACCACCTACTTAAGGGGATTGGCACGGATGAGATTCTGCTCTTACCAAGTTGGTAATATCATCCCTGCTGGGGCTGTCAGGCCCTCCCCTGTGGCATGAGCTGCAGCATGGAGGCCCGGCTCCTGAGGGGTAACTGGGGAAGGACGCAATCGCCATGCCCAGGAGGGAAGCGGGCTGGCTAGCGGGTAAGCTTGGTGGAATCACAGGACCTTTCTGAGGTCCTCCAGATGCAGGGTCTAAAGGCAGGTCCACAGAGGCGACCAGGCTTGAAGGGACAGGCCGGCACAGTCACATCCCTTAGGTGCAGTAGGTGCACACGTGAGGACACTTCCGGTTTGCTCTGCACTGGGATGCACATCCGGCCAAGAGGACAGAGGCCTGGAGAAAAGAGCTACACAGGAAACCCAATTATGGCCCGCTGGTTGCTTAGAAGTTTTGTGGGAAATCCGAGGAGCGAGATGACGCCGTTATTACCTGCAATGGTGTCACAGATGGGAAGCACTCGGGTGATCTGGACCTGGGGACGTGTGAATGTTATCGGGTTCAGAAGGCCGGTGTGAAGGCCTCAGGCTTCTCCAGTGTAATGAGTGAGGAAGTTTCTCACCCCTTCCAGAGGCAGAACCCCATGCGAATCTAGAAAGATCTAGAAAGAGTGCAGAGGAGCTCAGGAAACTCTGTGGCTGCTCGGGAGGCCCCACACCCCCTTCCCTGCAGGCTGGTGCTGCGGACAATGGCACGGTTTCTGTTCATGAGGGGCCCTGGGGCCCCCCGCTGGGCCTTGGGTGGACATGGGGTGGGGGGGGCACACTCAGGGGTGATGAAGCAACAGTCCTGCCCCCAGGGTCCAAAGACCCAGTTAGGGAAGTTCCTGATCCTGGTCATGGTCTCTGGCTTGAATGATGACAGAGGGACCCACAAAGGACAAAACAGAGAATGCTTCCCAAACCTGCCTTTCAGGGAGAGTTGGGTCACCAGGGTAAAAGGGGCTTAGACAGTGATGCTCTGCCCTCCCTTGTCCCTCACTGGGAGATCCGGAAGTGTCGGGATTTTAACCACATCAGCTCCGTGGAGTGAGAGGGCCCCGCACGCAGCGGCAGGGTCCAGGTGGAGGACGGGACACGTCCAGGGCTGCAGAGGCTGGAGCCCACACACCAGGCATGGGAGGTGCTGGGGACAAGGAGCCACCTGGCCCCATTTTGTCTTCTCAGGCTCCTTGGGTGGGACTCTGCTCTCCCAGGGTGAGAGCCGGGGAAGCCCTGGGGTGCCCTGGGTCAGGTTTGTAATCGGTGGGCTAAGATCCTCCCCAGCAGAAGGGGAGATCAATCTGGGGTGTGGGGACATCTCCAGAGAGATAGACCTTCATTTGGAGGGCATACACTGCCCCCCAACCCCCAGCACTCATCCTTCCTGTTAAAATAAATATATATAAATTCTAATAACTCTAAATAATTTGCTGAGGGGGAGTGCTCAGTCAGTGAAGCAGCCAATTTCAGCTCAGGTCATGATCTCACGGTTTGTGAGTTCGAGCCCCGCGTCGGGTTCTGTGCTGACAGCTCAGAGCATGGAGCCTGCTTCAGATTCTGTGTCTCCCTCTCTCTCTGCCCCTCCCTGGCTCATGCTCTGGCTCTCTCACTCTCAAAAATAAATAAACATTAAAAAATAATATAATAATTTGCTGAGCGATACTCAAGGCCCATCACCGAGGCTGACTAAGGAGGCCCTGAGACCCAACCTGGGAGGACCGAGAAACAGGGACTTTCAGGAAACAAACTATATGAAAAAGGGCTGGATCCCAGGCCCCGCACCATGACCTCTGCATGTGAGGCTAAATGACCCCTCAGTCATGGGGCATCAGGGGACCGTCTCCTGTGTCTCAGGAGCTACCATCATCAGGGTGTAGCAAGTGAGGCCTGATGCCATCTCCTGGGACAGGGTTGTGACATTCACCAGTGGTAATGGGTGTTGCTCGGTGAGGGCCACTGACCCACACGATACCAGCTGTGGGGGAGCATGGATACCAAGCCCAGTGACTGGTGAGAGCCGGGCAGAATAAAGACATGGGGTCCCTTTAAGAAGAGACCCTTTAGCCCTAGTATTCATCTCTTGGAGGAAGGGCCCCCTGCCCCACCCCAGCCTCACCCTGAGCCAAGAGGTCCTGGGAGAGAAGTGGCCAGCTTTGTTGGGACACAGGGGTTTGGGAAGGTAGCAAAGAGCCAAATAGGCCCAGTGGAAAGGCTGAGTCTATCTGGGGGAGGACAGAGAATTGACTGGGCTTCTCAGGTGCCAGGGGTGGCCATGGGGGAGGCTGGGAGGCAGACATGGTGAACGAAGGGTGGGTGTGGGGGTGTTTGCGGGGAGAGGTCTCCAGCAGAAATCAGGAGAGGGTTGTCATCATCTCTGCCGGAGGTCAGATGTCACCTCAGGTGACACTTTCAAGGATTAGGTGACACTGGCCACTTCCATGCTCCTTCTGGAGAATAGAAAGTTATGGGACCGTGTTGTAGGGCAGGAGATTGGTGCCAGCCAACTGCTCTGGGCTCCTGGGAAGAAGCTGGAGGAGGAGGTGAGGACAGAGGAGGGTGGGGAAGACCAGTGCCCCACCCCCACCCCCACCCCCACTGTTAGTTTCCTAACAACGCAATGGGGAGGGGACGAAAAAGCCCAACCACCGTTGGCCAGTGAGAAACAGAAGGCAGGTGGGCATCTTTGCCTCTCAGGATGTGAACTCTGACTTCTCTTTTCCTTCCCCAGTATCGAAGCATCTTAGAGAATTACCTCACAGACTCCATCAAGCTCTCACCGGAAGACCAGTCCAGGAGTAGATGTTGCTGATCTTTCAGTCTCCCGCTCTGATGCCCAGACAAAGCCTGCCCACGGCCTGGGCATCCCCGCCCCCACCAGCCCTTCCCTACCCACCCCCCCCCACCCCGTCTGCCCAAGCCCAGCCCAGGCACTACCCTCATATCTGTGCTGGGCCCAGATCAGAGCACAGCCCCTGCCTCGGGCTGAGTGTAGTGAGGACAGGGCTGGGCCCTCAGGGGTCCCGATGGAACCCAGAATGTCACAGCCAAATCTCGGGCCGGGAGGAGTCACCGTTCCCTGGCTGGCTCCAGCTTTCCTGCTACCTGCCCTCCCCAAACACACTCTCGCTCCAGAACGCACATCTCTGCAGACAGGCCACTGTGTCTGGAGTCCCGTTACGTTCTCCTGGGGACTGGCCTTCCTCACTCATACCGCCACGCACCCACAAAGCCACGGCACAGCTTTGGACAAGGGTGCAGCTCAGGCCACCCCGGCTACCAGCGCCAGAAAGCGAGGGCCTGCCTCAACCCCTGGTGGCCACTGTCCAGGCCTGGAACGATACTCCGCCGCCTCCAGGGCATAGGACAGAGGGAGCCCAGGAGAGGCACCCAGGACGGGCTCATTCCTCTCTGCTGGATGCGCAGACAACTCCTCTAAATCTCTCCGAGCCTCAGCTGGCTCATCTGTCAAATGGGGGTGGTTCGTGTCCTGCCGACCTCAGGGTATATGGTTTCGAGGACCAGAAGCTCTGCTTAAATCTCAGTTGCTCTTGTTGATATGCATTTATTTATTTCTCCAACAAGTATTGTTGAACATCTGCTATGTACAATGCGCCGAGGTCCAGTGACAAATGAAACAAACGAGGACCCTGCTCTCCTGGACCCGGCTTTCCGATTAGGGAGAGAAGCCATAGGCACAGAATTTAAACAGATATTTTCAAATAGCAGATGGGTGCTTGGACAAAGCAACCGAGGTAATGGGATAGAAAGGGACAGAGACTGGGGTTGGTGCTGTTTCAGACAAAGTGGTCCAGGAGGGCTTCCCTGAAGAGGTGTCATTTGGCCCCAGGACTAGAGAATGAACAGATGACTTTCATTAGAGATCTGGACAAAGAGCATTCCATGGAGAGGGAGCAGAAAGAGCCACGGCCCTGAGGTAAGGACAAATTTGCTGTGTTCCAGGAACAGTGAAAGAACTCTCATTTACCTGAGGACTCAAAGCTGATATCCCAGAGACCAGCAAAAGGGATCCTGCCCCCTGAGTGGCTCCTTGATGCTCTGCTGACTGGCCACCAGAGGGCAGCAGTGCTCCTTCCCTCCCGTGCTGAGTGGCCGGTGGCTTCTCCATGACCCTTGAAGAAGGGCTTTTCTCTCTATGCTGATCCTCAAAGCTTGTTCTCAGACTGGGGGCATGTTTGGTCCTGCGAGATTTATGGGGCAGGAGAATCCCAATTTCTTACAGCTAGTAAGAACTGAGCCAAAACTGTAACATCAATGATTCAGGCAAGAAATCCACATAAGTGACAAATGCTAGAATTGAGGGACCTGGAAAACTCACGGACTCCCTCTCCCTGCAGATTCTTCCGGCAACAGATAGCATAGACAGGACCCAGCCTGAAGAGGGTAGGCAAAATGACCACTCAGAGGCTCCCAAGCCACATCCATGCCCTCCATGGAAGTCTCCTGTCTACACAGACGTATCTGGCCCTGAGCTCCGAGCAAAGCTGGGACGTGAGCCCAGGACTTCTGATGGCATCTGACTCTGAAGATACTCCCAGAGGCAGGGGATCCTGCAGGGGTGAAGGGGTCAGCAGGAGAGTCTGGGGAGCCTCGTCTGCCCACCCAGCTGTGGAGTAAGGGCTGGCTCATCCCGGGCAGCGGCACGGATCTGGCAGAGAGCAGGTGGCTGGGAGCACGCCGCCGTCTCTGTGTCCTTCCTGGGAGTGGCATTCTACACCTCACACGGCTCTCCTGGGAGTGCATCGGACCGTGGATGGGATGTGTGGCGTTTGGGCTTCTGTATCCTGTGTATGCAGCACCAATGGATGTGTGAACTGTTTCAAAACGTGTGCGACAAATAATAAATGTGTCCTCCTTTCTTTTTATCCTTTTTGGTATTTTGTTATTAAGTTAAAAAAAAATAGCAACATGTTTCCATAGTGCAAAATTCAGGGTAGACAACAAAAAGTGAAACAGGACAGCTCACATAACAGAAGGGGCCCAGGGCAAAATGAAAATACCCTGCCCTTGTTCAAAACCGATGAAGGATTTCAAGACAGTAACAGCGGGTCGTTAATTCTAGCCCAGGGTCCTTAGGAGAGCAGGGTACACATACCTGTGAAGCCTGTCCCTGAGGAAGTAGCTATGTTTTCAGGACCCTCCGGAATGCTGGAGCCCCTGGCCAGGCCCGCCTGGGCTGCAGACACCCTGCAGCTTGAAGATAAAAGGTTCTATCTTTGCAAGAGCGGCGTGGAGATTCCACCCCAGGCCTAAAACGAGCATTTTGAGTTTTCTCCAGAGTCAGGAGGAGGGCAGAACCTTCCACGTGGGAGGGCAGAGTGCCCCCACTCGTGATTCTGAGACTGGCCCTCGGTACCAACCCAGTAGGGGCAGGTGCCAGCAGGGGAGGCAGCACGCGGGAGGCTGTGACTCCGGGCTAAGCGAAGAAGCCACCGGAGCCCAGAGTGGAGGGGGGGGGAGGGGGGGGTGGCCAGCACCTACCAGGGCCCCTTCATCTCCATCCATTCAGAGAAAAGAGGACCCCAGTTCCCCAGACTGCTCTGGTCCAGGCCACTCTGATCCCTGGCCCAAGGGGCAGCTCCGGGCTGCTAATGAATAACAGAGAGGACCCAGGCCAGGGCTCCCGGTGGCACACACCCCGGGGGCTTGGGAAAAACCAAAACGAACCCAAATCTTATCACCAAATAAACCTGGGCGGGGCCTGGCCGGGTGCCACACTGCCCAAGAGGATCTGGTGAAACAGCTGACTTTTTCTGTTGTCTGCTCCCACTCAGCAGAGGCTCCCTCACTGTCCCATCACCTGCCACAGGCAACTCCCGGCAGAGGCAGGTGGGTGGCCAGCAACCACACTGCAGTTCTGTTCCCAGAAGCACACAGTCCAGTGGCGGCCACAGAACAGCCCTGCCAGCAGCGACACCCAAAACTGATCGCTGTGCGTAGCTGGCCCGGCGGTGGCAGTGGGCTGAGGACATGAGAACTTGCCTTCTGTGAGCATACCTCGAGTCTCCCTCTAGGATGTGCGCTGGGGTGGGGGTGGGGGGGGAGTGTGTGTATATGGCGTGTGCGTGTGTGTCTGTGTGTGTGTGTAGTGGGGGGGAAGGTGTTTATGTAGGAGGTGGGGAGGGGAGTAGAGACTTAGAAAGTCAGTGCATTTCCCTTGTTGAAATACAGAAAAATTATAAAAAGTCCATAAGATTGGAGGAAAGCAGCGATTAGGGGAAGGGGCTCGGGGCTCAGGGTGCAACAGTAACTATGGGAAGCCTGCCTTGTGGCAGTGAGGCCCCAGAGCAGCCTCCAGAGGAGGGGTGAGCCTCATTCTCGAAGGACGCGGCTGCCGTTCCCTCCCTGTCTCCCTCACAGCCCACCAGGTCCTCGCCCTCTCGGAAGCCACTCCCTTCCCCCCACCCCTCCGCTTCACCTGGTCCAGGCAGCTGGCATGACTTGGCCCAGACCACCCTCCCCGTGGGGCTCCCACTGGCCCTTATTCCTTTCCCAGCCACTCCGCCTATCAGCCCGCCTTGTGGCGTCCACACAGACAAAATCCGTCCGTGGCCCACGGGGCCCCTCACCGCCGGCCACTGCCTGCTCAGGCCTCGGCCCGGGCCACAGCCACCCTCAGCTCCGCACACAGGAACTTCTCTCAGTTCCCCGGAGGTGCCGCTCTCTGGCCCTTCACCCGACTATTCCTCCTTAGCTGTTCGTCATCAACTAAAACATCGCTTCCTCTAGTAAGCTTTCCCAGACCCCCAGACCAGGTTAGGGGCCCTCCGTGGGCCCCCACGGCTCCCCATTCTCAATGCGAGAACATCAGCTCCTATGGAAGGGCCATGGCAGGGAGTGTCCTCAGTTTTAGTCCCCACCTTCTGCCCTGCACCCGAGCCATGCCTGACGAGTGCTTAGCGTTCAGTAAATATTTTGGGGAAATCAGCTCCTGTAATACTTCACCATAATTGCTTGTCTGCATGGCCTCAGACTGTGGGCTCCCTAAAGGCAGGGTCTGTTTGGATTCATCGTGTCAACCCCAGCCTCAGCACAGAGATTGATGCATGGCAGATGATAAATAAATACCGTGGAATGCGAGAGTATACCACACAGCTATTAAAGAGAACGGTGGAGGGGCGCCTGGGTGGCTCAGTCGGTTAAGTGTCTGACTTTGGCTCAGGTCACGATCCCGCAGTTTGTGAGTTCGAGCCCCGCGTCAGGCTCTGTGCTGACAGCTCAGAGCCTGGAGCCTGCTTCCGATTCTGTGTCTCCCTTTCTCTCTGTCCCTCCCCCACGCATGCTCTGTATCTCTCTCTCTCTCTCTAAAATAAACATTAAAAAATTAAAAAAAAAAAAAAGAATGATGGAATGTTCTGTGTGATGGAATGGAATAGAACATCCAAGAATCATTGTCACGTGAAAAAGCAATGTGAGAATCATGTGTATAAGAGGCAATCTTTTTGGTAAGAAGAGGCTTAAATACACCTTTATGTTCATTTTTGCTTGTACATAAAGAAAACTCTAGAAAGATGCACAAGAAATTAATAAAAGTGATTACCTTTCGGAGAGAGGACTGGGCAAGTGGGAGTCAGATGTAGGAGTAAGACTCGGCTTATATAATCTTCTACTTTGTATTTTGAACTCGAATGTATTACATAATCAAAAAGTTTTTTAAAGGAAAATGAATATTGGTGGAAGGCAGAAGGGGGAGAAGAACAAACAGGGAGAGGGTTGGAACTCCAACCAGGGCCTAGCTGCCTTTGGTCAGTTACAACATACAGCCTCGAATCCAGGGCTGACAAGTTTGGATTCTGCCGTAGAAGAAGGATGGGCATCTAAGAAATCCCCCAAGCCCACATGCTGTGGCCAAGACACCGAGTCTCCCAGGTGGGGCAAGGTCAGCTGGGGTTTTTTGGTTCTCCTGTATCCTAGAGGAGGATCCTGTGACCTGGGATGCTGGTCAACAACTGAACAGGTGTTTCTAACCCCAGAGGCTCAGAACTGGAGATAAACTATTAAGTCTGTGCCCGGCTCTGTGAATTACTATGTGAATGACTACACTTAAGGGTAGGTATTCCCCAGGGTTAACATCAAGACTTACTTACCAGTTTCTCGACACTCTGGAGACTGCTCTCCTAAGCCCAACACTGACCCCAGAAAAGATCCCCCTCCAAGGATGGGCTCCAAAATGAACTGGTACAATTACTTTGGGGCTGTATTGAATAAAAGGCACCACAAACAGGCTCTATGACTCTGCAGTTCGAGTCTTACACACAGACAACCCTTACAGGTGGGCATCAGGGGACACGATCAAGGATTTTCTTTGTAGCATTGTTCGTAATAGAGAAAAAAATAAGTAAACAGAAAGAAAGAAAACAAAACAAATCTGGAAATGACCCAGATGTCCTTCTATAGAAAATTGGATAAATAAAATGGGATATTCAAACAATGGAATTTCACAGCAGTGGGAATGAATAAACTAAAACCACAGACACCAACTGGGTGAATCTCAAAAGCACATGGAAGATAACAAGCCACAGACGGAGACGTATGGTTGCCATTTCTGTAAAGTTCAAAAGCCAGCAAAACTAGCTGGTTTATCCTCACACATATTTGTCACCGATGCGTCTAGTAACAGCATGGAACAACAAAAAAACATACAAACAAGGGAATGATGAGCCCAAAACTTAGATAGCAGTTACCTTGGATGGGGGTCAAGGCTGGGGAGATGCGGGGAAATGCAGTAGGGACCAGACACACAAGGCAACTAGACAGAGTTGGGAGAGTCCAATCCTCCAGCTGAGTCGTGGGGCCACCGGCCGTAATTGTATCATTACACTTTGCATCTCAGATGTATGTCACACATATTCTTTTCACGACTCAAATATCCAAATTTTAGAATCACAACCACAACCTGAGCTTTGGAGTCAAGCACACTCGAGTTGGAACCTTGACTATCTTCTCCACAGCTGTGTGACCCTCAGAGTTTCCATTGTCTCACCTGTACAGCGGGGATAATAACGCTTATCTCGAAGGATACTAGTTATGGACAGCCATCCCCCTTTATCCACGAGGGATATATTCCAAGACCCCTAGTGGATGCCTGAACCCACAGATAGCACTGAACCCTGTATATTACACTATGTTTTTTCCTAGACATATCTACCTATGATAAAGTTTAATATACATATTGATAAATTAGGCACAGTAAGATTAACAGAAATAACTAATAATAAAATAGAACAATTATAACAATATACTGTAATAAGGCTTGTGTGAATGTGGTCTCTTTCTCTCCCCAAATCTCTTAGTGTACTGTACCTACCCTTCTCGTGATGATGTGAGATGATAAAATGTCTACTTGATGAGACAAAGTGCCAGGAAGAGGCAGGCACTTTGACTTAGCATTAGTCTGCTGTTGACCTTCTGACATTTGTCAGGAAGATCTGCTTCTGCTCTGCCCTTTGACAGTGGGTAACTGAAACTGTGGATAAGTTGTGTCTAACTCGTGGTAAATATTCAATAAACGGTGGTTTGCAGGGGTGTTTGAAATCTGTTTGTGAGTAAAGGCATCCCTACTGTAGGCTAAGGGCAAAATAAATGAGGACAAAAATGAATGAATGAATGAATGAATGAGCAAACAAATGAACTCATTTATTCTATCCCTATCTCTACATCTTCTCCCCTGGGTAAACTCTGGGACCCAAATGGCCTGGTTAACATTGTGGTCACTTCAAACAAAATTTATAATACAATTCTCACACCTACCCGGAGTCTATAGAAGCAGGCAGCTGGCAAGCTAGCCCCACAAGGACTGGGCCTCCACTCTCCAAACTGAAGGAAAGATTCCTGCAGGAGGGACTCACTGTGTCCTCCCTGCCCC